TGATAAAAATTATATTTATATTTATTATGCACGTCGTACTGCGACAATGACGCACGCTTGAAACGTACTGACAGAGCTACGAATGTTTAACATGGTTCGTACAGGACTGAAATTTTTTTCAAGGACTTTTCAAGGACATTTTATCGGAAATTCAAGGACATTTCATCAGACATTTCATGGAATTCATACACAGAACAAAACATACCTGGATTAATTTAATAACCCCATTCTTAATCACTGCATGTCACCTCTAAAACTTACCTGGATGACATTAATAAACCCTTCTAAACACTGTCACTTCTACAACATACCTTGATTTACTGACTGATTTTAGTGACTTTCTGTAATTTGTGATCATCATTTAACTGTCTATCGTGTCTATAGCTTTTTAAGCTCATTTAACGCAATTTTTATTGAGGTTTGCACATTATTGATGGTGCAAAATTTCTTTTTATTACAGGCAATGATTCTTTCTAAAAATTCAAGGACATTTTCATGAAATTCAAGGACATTTTCATGAAATTCAAGGACATTTTCATGAAATTCAAGGACATTTTCATGAAGGACTTTTCAAGCACAAAATCAACAATTACTAAATTCAAGCACTTTTCAAGGACTCCCCTCAAATTCAAGGACTTTTCAAGGACTGTGCGAACCATGTTTAATTACACACGTTGTGCTGCTTGTGCATACTAATTACGACGCGCGTAATACAAACAAAGATTTAATTATGTGCGACGTACTAAGAAACGTACTGACAGAGCTCTGGATGTTTAATTACACATGTCGTGCATACTAATTACGACACGCGTATTACAAACGAAGATTTAACTATGCGTGTCATACTACGACAACGACGCGTGAAACGTACTGACAGAGCTATCTATGGATGTTTCATTACACACATTGTCCATACTAATTACAATGCGCGTATTACAAACGAAGATTTTAATTACACACACGTCGTATCACATGCGGCGGTTTAATTATGCACGTTGTATCACAAACGAGGATTTAATTACGCACACGTATTACAAACGACGGTTTAATTATGCACACGCCGTATCACAAACGAGGGTATAATTATGCACACGTCGTATCACAAACGACGGTGTCCCATAGTTGAACTAGCTGCGGGGATTACGAACGAACTACATCGTCAGATGAAATGAGAGTGTCAATGACACTGTAGCTCACCACAAAAAAGGACACAAATGAGTCAGTGAGAAGAAGTCAGTTTTAATTGAGCAACAATCGACGTACATTATAGAAAAGAAGAG